GGGGGACGGGGGCAAAGAAAATGTATGCCCCAATAGGGCACATAAGCGCTGCAATGGTGAGTAAGATTAAAGATTTTAACACCCTTAATTACAGATGCAATAACACCCTTAATACCACCATTAATCACACAAAAAATGGTAAAAAGCCCTTAATTACACCCCCCTCAATTATAGATAATGTAACACCCTTTATTGCATCCCCCCTTCCCCTCCCCTTCAACACCCACCACTCCCTCCAGACCTATTTTCAAAAACCATAAGCTGCATTTCCCCGAGGACCTAACATGGACAGTGCCGCCGTGATGAAAATAATGGTGGTACCCTTCCCCACTGAAGCTTTACCGTTCTTGACAACTGGAGTTTTTTTGTAAGGGCCATGGCCTTTAGATATCATCATTGTTAAACTGACCGGCCCCAGGCAATTCACAAAGATCTTATTCTCTTCATCTGAAGGTATCTGGATTCAAACTTAAGAGTCCCTATTTCAACAGTTCAGGGGTGTACCAACTGAGCTAGGCCAGTTGGTCTTTTTTTTTTTTTTGCCAATTTCCATTTCTGGGACTCAGGTCTGTATTTCAACAGTTCAGGGGTGCTCCACCTGAGCTAGGCCCGTTGGTACACCCCTGAACAGTTCAGGGGTGTACCACCACTCCCAACGGCCCCTGTAGATTTTGGCCCAGTACTCGATGACAAGAAAAATGAACCGTGCAGGGGCCGTAGGGGCCGTTGGGAGTGGTGGTCTAATTACTTTCTTTTTCTTTTCTTTTTTTTAAGAAAAAGGGCATCGGCCTTGAGACATCATCATTGCACTGACCGGGCAAGGTAATTCAGAAATATCCTAGGCTACCAGAGTGGCCCGGGTCCACTTGCCCGGCCGGGCCAAAAAGATACAAGAAAATAAAAAATAAAAAATATTTTTTAATTTAAAATTTTATTTTAAATTTGGTAAGGAATTTCGATGTGACCCTCAGGCAAAAGTTGTTCAGTTTATTTTTCTGCAAACATAGTTTTTTTTTCGGATTTTTTGAATTTTTTTTTTTTTTTTTTGGCTGGGACCTTCCCTGGTCCTTGCACGGCCGGGCCGCCGCCCGGGAAAATAGGGTGACCCGGGCGGCCCGGCTGGTATCCTAGGAAATATCATAATTCTGTTCGTCTGATTGCATCTGCATTCAGTGGGTGGGGATTACCGTTCGACTTGCTGGATGCAGGTTTTTTTTTTTTTTTTTTTTTTTCTTAACTCACATCAACGCATTGCAAAACTGTACAGATTGAGGCCGGGGACCCCACATTTCTACCCGGAAAAAAAAAGAAAAGAAAAGGAGGAGTTGTAGTATTTTACTCATCTGCATTCGGGGCGGAGTTCGAACTCAGGTCTGTATGTCAACAGTTCAGTCCAGGGGGGGGGTGTACCAACTGAGCTAGGCCAGTTGGTGCATCTGGATTTGAACTCAGGTCTGTATTTCAACAGACCAGGGGTGGGTGTACCAACTTTACGGATAACATAACAGCTCGTGATTGGGATCGGATCTCGTATGACAGGGCAAATGAAAAAGAAACGAGAGCGGCAAGTGTGCGACATGTGATCCGTTGTCCACCGGACTATACTAAAAAAAAAAAAAAAAAAAAAAAA